TAAGATATATTAACCTGCTACTTGTCCCTTTGTCACTTGTCTCCTCTGTGAGATTCCTGGCATAGACTCAATGGCTTGCTCCCTGTGGATCCCCATTCTGATGGGAAATACAAAGTTACTGGTTCTAAGTTGTTTCCACCCTAGAGTCCTATGATTGAGCAGGGGTGGAATGGGAGAGTTTAGAGCTCCATGTTTGTTGAAGGCTGGTCATTAACAGCTGTTGGGCACTGTGTCAAATGCAGATGCCATTTAATTTCATCTTCCCCAGTAGACAGTTGGCTGTTGAGGATAAACATCTCCTTGCCTGCTACCACTACATAATTAAGGGTCAGCTCAGTAATTTTCTTTTTAACCAGGGATTGATCCCAGGGGTGCATAACCACTGAGCAACATCCCCAGCCCCACCCCCCTTTTTAATTTTTAATACCTTTATTTTGTTTGTTTATTTTTATATGGTGCTGAGGACAGAACCCAGTGCCTCACATGTGCGAGGCAAGCACTCTACCGCTGAACCACAACCCCAGCCCCCACCCCCAATCCCTTTTTGTATTTTATTTAGACAGGGTCTTGCTGCTTAAGGCTTCACTAAGTTGCTGAGGCTGGCTTTGAACTTGGATCCTCCTGCCTCAGCCTCTAAGCTGCTGGGATTATAGGCGTGTGCCACCATGCCCAGCAGCTCAGTAACTTTTCGTCAAACAAATTGAGTCCTTATGTCAAACAACCCTTCCATGTTGGCATTATTTGCCCCAATTTTCAGATAAGACTAAGGCCCATGTTGCTTAAAATGTTGTCCAAGACAAGAAGTGTATGTGGCCTTGGGTCTGGACATTGTGCCCTGTCTGATCCCAGAGTCCACACTATGCTGCACTGCAAGGGCTAAGATCCTCCTCCCTGAGAGGTGACTGGTTGAATCTTTTTTTTAAAATCATTTTCCAAAAAGTTTGCATTCCATCTGTGTTTGAAAGCAGGCTCTAGTCAAATCTAATTAGTCATTTACCCAGAGGTAATTATTTTTATTTTATATAACTTTGGTCCTCTTTTGAGATTTTATTTATAAACCAGTGCTAAATGCTTGGGAGAACTGAAGTGAGGTCAAAAGTTAACTTTCCATCCACCAACATGTATTAAATGCCTAATGTATGGCAGATTCTGAGTCCTGTCCTTGAGGAGCTTACAGTCTAATAGGGAAAACTTCACCTTTTTTTCCTTTAAAATTTTTATGAAGTTGAAACATGTTGACTAGAGAATATTTGGAAAGTCCAGGTAAGAAAGGAAAGGGGAAAAGTCACCCAAAATTCAGATAATGTTTTATAAATCCTGGGAGCAGGGTCTGTGTCTTAGTATTTCTGTTTCTGCAAAACTGTTTACAGGTCTTAGAGAAGAACAGTCAATATGAGTTCTGTGTGTGTGTGTATGTGTGTGTGTGTGTGTGTGTGTGTTTACACATAAACACATATACATACATGTATAAATATAAATATATGTTTGTATATTCATACATATGTGTGTTTGTGTATATATGAATATTTGCAGTACTGGGGATTGAGCTCAGGGGCACTTTACCACTGAGCTACATCGTTGGTCCTTTTTTTTACTTTGAAACAGGGTCTCACTAAGTTGCTAAAACTAGCCTCAAACTTGTGATCCTTCTGCATCAGCCTCCTGAGTAGCTGGAATTACAGGCATGTGCCACGTGCCTGGCCAGTCAATATTTTTTGAGTAGAAAGAAAGCTACCCTGAATCCCCCAACTGGAGATAACCACTGCTAACATTTAGAAAATATTCTTAGGCTCAGCCAAGTATGGTGGCACACACTTATAAATCTGCTGCTCTGAAGGCTGAGGCAGGAGAATCACAAGCTCGAGGCCAGCCTCAGCAATTTTGTGAGATCCTATCTCAAAATAAAAGAGGCTGGGGATGTAGCTCAGTGGTAGAGTACCCTGCRTTCAATCCCCAGTACTGGGAATGGGGTGGGGGGAACCATTCTTAGCCTCCTTTTCTTTCACATCAAATGACTCACCTGGATATGATTGCCTAATCCAGGTTGATAAATATATGGTCTCTTTAGTGCCCCCTACAGGTGTTGCAAGTGCTGCTTACCATGTTTATTGATTGTTGACCCAACTGGTCAATTGGAGCAATCTTTTACATCCTTCCCCCTGCCATGGCCTAGAATCTTCACACAAAGAAGGGTCTCTTAGGTATGAAAAGAGCAGTAGCTTTTACTAAGTGCCCCCAACATGCACCCCCCACCACAGCACATGAAAGTTTCAGGAGCTGGAAGTTGATTTATCATAGATCAGTTATTTGGATCGAGGGGAACTCAAACCAGGCTGTGGGTTGATTCATTTGAAAGTTCCTGAAGGATCGTTCAAAACTCCAGATGTCTAGGCCCCACTTGACACCAATTAAAACAGAATCTCTTGGCATGAGGCTCAGACATTGGTGTTTTTGTGCTTTTAAAGCTGTCCTGGTCAGGAATTGGGAACCATGGATTTAAAGGAAGGTTGGGCAGTGACCTTTTGAGACTAGCAGAGTGCACGCGGTGGCCAGCAAGGGCACACTTCAACCCCAGAACTTGGCATCACTATGGTTTTCTGCAGCCCACTTCATGAAAAACTTGAGTGATATAAGTGGGAAGTTGGTTTGCAAAGGGAAACCCAAAGAAGTAAATAACATCTGTGTTCCAAAGGGCTTATGTAAGGAAAATACACAGAGAAACCATGGATGTACACATAAGGCAGGGACAGATGGAGGGAGATAAGTGTGGAGCCTCACTTGGGCTCTTCTGGAAGGCACATGAGTTTTGGAGGCTTCATTATGAAGGAAAGAATTCTCCAAGGTAAACTGTAAGAGATAAGCTTCTTTATCTTAGCAAAAAGAAAATGCTAAGAATAAATTGATCTTGAGAGCCTACAGAGTGGGAGAAAATCTTTGCCACCTGAACCTCAGATACAGCATTAATCTCCAAGATATATTTAAAAACTCAAAAATCTTAATACCAAAAAAAAACAAGCAAACAACAAATAACCCAATCAGTAAATGAGCAAAGGGACTGAACAGACATTTCACAGAAGAAGAAATATGAATGGTCAACAAATATATGAAAAGATGTTCATCATCTCTCTCTAGCAATTAGAGAAATATAAATTAAAACTACACWGAGATTTAATCTCACTCCAGTCAGAATGGCAATTATCAAGAATACAAATAAYAATAAATGTTGGCAAGGATGTGGGGGAAAAGGAACACTCATACATTACTGGTGGGACTACAAATTGGTGCAACCACTAAGGAAAGCAGTATGGAGATTCCTCAGAAAACTTGAAATGGAGTCACCATTTGACCCAGTTATCCCACTCCTCGGAATATACTCAAAGGACTTAAAATCAGCATACTACAGTGACATGACCACATCAATGTTTATGGTAGCTCAATTCACAATAGGTAAGCTATGGAACCAATTCAGGTGCCCATGAATGGATAAAGAAAAATGTGGTATATGATATACAATGGAACATTACTCAGCCATAAAGAAGAATGAAATTGTGGCATTTGCCAGTAAATGCATGGAACTGGAGACTATCATATTAAGTGAAATAAGCTAATCCCCACAAAACCAAAAGCCAAATGTTCTCCCTAATATGTGRATGCTGACACACAATGGGGGTGAGGGAAAGAATAGAAGGTCACTTGCTTAGACTGAGGAGAAAGAAGGGAAGGGAGAGGGGATAGGAATAGGAAAGACAGTAGAATGAATCGGACATAACTTTCCTATGTTCATATATGAATACACTACCAGTGTAACTCCACGTCATGTACAACCCCAAGAATGGGAATTTATACTTCATATATGTATAATACATCAAAATACAATCTACTTCGATGTATAATTAAAAAGAACAAATAAAAATATTCTTAAAAAATAATTGATCTTTATTTGAACAGGTAAAGTACTTGTTGTTTGCCAAGCATTGTGCTGAGCACTTAATATACATGATTTCATTTAATCTTTGTGATAACATTGTACTAGGTACTATTTATCCTCACTTTAGAGTGGAGGAAGTGGAAGCTAGTCAGTGTTAAGTTATGATCGTACAACCACATGATATGAAACAGGCAACCCCAGCCTCGTGGACTCTAAAGTCAATGCTTCACCACGCCAGGCATTATGACCTGGACCTGTACTTGCATGATTAGAAGTAATACAAAAGATGGGGTTGGGGGGTCAAAGTCCCCATCCTCTCAAGAAGGGGTAACTTTCCAGAATGGTTAGTCAGCTAGAACATTCTCCCTTCTGTGGAAGATCAGGTTGCCGGAGGCAGGCAGCTTGGGCTCTAGCAGTTTCTCCCCCTACGTGAGACTAGCAAGTCACTCAATGGGCCATTTGCTCACCCAGGCATCSCAAAGGATCAGAAGGGTTAGTTCAGTTGTTTTCAGGTTGCCCTCTGGAGGCCTGTGCTGCAAGAGGCTGTTCTGGGACAGGATGGGCAGACTGGGCCTCTCTTTTCCCCTTCAACCAGAGAAGATCTGCATTTAGCTGCTTGGAGGGAAGTTTCCCCTGCTTGGAGGTTGGGAGGGGTGGAGGGAGGACCTTTGCAAGGAAATCACTTGAGTGAATTCATTTCAGTGACCCATGCAGCTTGACAGGTCTTAGGTACTCTGTTTTTGAAATTTTGCTGGAAGAATCGATACCTTGATTGCCTCAGCAAATACTGAAGGGAGGAAGGCCACTGAGGAGCAAGGCAGCTAGCCAAATTCCAAATGACCATAAACCTGCCTGGCCAACCCAATTACCAGGAGAGTAGCATAAGTGCCCTCATTGTTGAGGAGGGGTCTGTTACTGTGACAGCAGTACATCATAGCAAGGGAYAGGCTAGGCTCCAGGCTGCATCTCCCTGAATGGTAACTTTCTTTTTAACTTTCTAGAGTAAAAAATCTCTTGTCCTCTCTCAGTAGTTTAGGATTCAAGCAATTTTCTATTTCTTTGTGTTTTTCAGATCTTAAATCCAAATTTCATCCAAGAAGGTGAGTTAAAAAGGGGTGGAGTTGAGAATGTGGGGATTAGCCAAATTAAGTGTAGGACATTGAGCATAAGGTAGAGACACATGTACGTGATGGCACATGCCTGTGATCTCAGCAATTTGGGAAGCTAAGGCAAGAGGATTTCAAGTTTAAGGACAGCCTCAATAACTTAGTGAGATCCTGTCTCAAAATAAAAAATAAAAAGGATTGGGGGGTGTAGTAGCTTGAGGCTAAACCCCTCTCCCAAATAAGGTAGAGACTTTAAGCAATAGTGACATGATTCTGTATTCATGGAAAATTTTTTATGATTAATTATTGAGTGAAAAAACCCTGCAACTTGCAATAAAAAATATGAAATAAATTTTGGTAAAAATGTTTTTAATTGAAAGCCTGAAAGAATCTATGACAGGGAGCTGGGGTTGTGGCTCAGCAGTAGAGCGCTTGCCTAGCACATGTGGGGCACTGGGTTCAATTCTCARCACAACATAAAAATAAAATAAAGGTATTATGTCCAATTACAATTAAAACAAAATATTTTTAAAAAAGAGTATATAACAAAATATTCACAGCTGTTATCTCTGGATTATGATATCATGGAGCTCCCCCACTTTTTGTTTTTATATATTTCCTACCTTTGTACAATAAGTATTTACTTAAAATACTCTTTAAAGGGACACAGGTGACCTAAAAGTGTTAGACTGCMCATTATTTGAATTGGTACACAACATGAGTGGAGATGAGAGTACTACGTTTAAAAATGCCTGTTTTATTCTAAATTTGTTATGAATGATGTGAATGTATGTTGATTTGATCACAGTGGCCCCAGAGTTCCTTGTGCCCTTAGTGGATGTGACCTGCTTGCTTGGGGACACAGTGATGCTCCAATGCAAAGTCTGTGGGCGGCCGAAACCCACCATCACCTGGAAGGGTCCAGACCAGAACATCCTCGACACTGACAACAGCTCAGCCACATACACCGTCTCCTCCTGGTAAGTCGATGGCCCCAAACTTGACACTTTAGTGAAGCACCCGGAGGCTGAATCAAGGTGCAGCCTCTATTCTGGTTACTAGTCTTTCCAAGACAAGAGCTGCTGTGGAGTCTATTCTAGATCAAACACTTGGCCTTGATTAGGAGGGATTGAGTCAAAACCTGTGGGTTAGCTCAGCCCCACTTAATAGAGCACTCGGTGCTGCAAGTGTTCAGCCCGGCCCTGCTGCCCACACTGCCACCTGTCTCTCAGCCTGGATCTCTGGGGCTGCGTTGCTCATGTTGCTTGGCACCATGTAGACACACTTGGGGCCAACCAGAACCATTTGGAAAGACTGTTCTGGACCCACATTAAACAAATGCAGAAGCAAAGTCACACTGCAGGTCAGGCATGCACCATACATTTAGAAAGCTTCTACATTCCCTGCCTTAGAGTCACCCTATTAGATGATCTGCCCTAAGGATTCTCCGGGTCAGAAGTGGTGAACACTCCTGACCAAGGGACAGGCTAGGAATTAGGAATTATTAAGAATTAGTTATTAGTATTAGGAATGTGGTCCTCAAATCTGGACAGCCTGATGAGTTTTGTGCCTTCAGGATGCTTTGAAACAGTGATATAGTTAATTCCATGCCTAAGAAAAATTTKTTAAGAAGGGGAAAAAATCGACCCAACACACAATGCACAATAGAAAATAAGCCACCAGCCTGCTTCTACACAAAAAGCCTGGTTTTTGTCAGTCAAAACTTAGTCACTGCCAGGCTCTGTSGCGTATACCTATAATCCCAGTGGCTCAAGAGGCTGAGGCAGGAGGATCTCGAGTTCAAAGCCAGCCTCAGCAACAGTGAGACCCTAAGCAAATCAGTAAGACACTGTCTCTAAATAAAATACAAAACAGGGTTGGGGATGTGGCTCAGTGGTTGAGTGCCCCTGAGTTCAATCTGCAGTATCCCCACCCCGCAAAAAAAAAAAAAAAAAAACTTAGTTACTGCCTCCCAATCATTCTGCTGACATTTATTGCTGTTAGTTAGGAACTTTGTTGTGTCCTCTTGATTACAGTGGACAAGAGAAAGCACTAACGGCAAGCCCTAACAGCCTAACAGTCACTAATGGAAGGAACACCTAGAATCAAGAAACTTCCATTYTTTGACTTCCTTTGTGCACATTTGAAATGGAAAAAGAACACTGTTCCTTAGTGTTCCCAGCAGACTCCCAGCAGGTCATAAAACTCCATGAGCTCAAGGAGCTTAGTGCCAGTCGGTGCTTGATGAGGATCATGAAGAACCCAGAATGTCCCAACCCAGGGGGAGGGAGTGGAACTGATGGGGTTTCTGATTTAACCCTTTCAAGTTTCTTCCCTTGGGGTGTTCCTGACCCCAAGGGGAGAAGAGTCATCTTTTAGGTGGAAAAAATTTACCTTTTTAATTCACTTAGTTATTTTGAGGGTCCCACAGGTAGGATTTTAAATATTTGAACATTTTCATTATTTGGTCTTTCCATTTTCTCATACCATTCATTATTCATCTGATTGAAGTTATTTTTAGGACAAAGTTGCCAGTGGATATACTAATTATATTGCAGACAGGTATTTGGAAGGGACTTTGTGTATTTCTTTTTTTTTTTTTTTTTTCTGGTTCTCACTAAGTTCCTGAGATAACTTTGAATTTGCCAGCCTCCTTCTCCAGCCTCCAAGTTGCTGGGATTACAGGCGTGCGCCACTGAGTCCAGCCAGACTTTATGTATATCAAGCCATGTTTTAATTTCTTCTTATTTCATTCCTTATTTTATYCCTCTCAATAAATTTGGGAGAAGGGCCTGGTCATATAAGGAAATGAGGATAGAAGCAAGGTGATCCTTCAAGGTGTGTAGAAAGGTCACAGAACAGGTCTAGACCTTGGGCCTTCAGTCTCTCRGGTCAGCACACCTTGTGCCAACCTTATGGATTTTACCCATCAGTCAACTGTCTCATTACTGGAGTCTGAAGGACATCCCTTTGGTGTCCCTAGTGATTCTGGGGAAATCACCCTGAAGATCTGCAATCTGATGCCACAGGACAGTGGGATTTATACCTGCATAGCAACAAATGACCACGGTACTGCATCCACATCTGCCACAGTTAAGGTGCAAGGTACAGTCTTTTTCTTTTATATGTATATATGCTATTTTTAAAAAATATATTTTTAATTGTAGATGAACATAATACCTTTTTTTTTAATGTGGTGCTGAGGATTGAACCCAATGCCTCATGCGTGCCAGGCAAGTGCTCTATCACTGAGCCACCACCCCAGCCCTAGATATGCTATTTTTAACATGTGTTTTAATTGTAGTAATGCACAACATAACACTTGCTGTCCTAACCATGTTCAAACAGTTCAGTGGTACGAAACACATTCACATCTTTGTGCGGCCCTCACCGACATCTCCCCCCAAAACTCTTGTCAGCTTCCCAACCTGGAATTCCCTCCTCCCCCATTAAACAGGAGCTCCATGTTCCTCCTTTCCCACAGCACTGGCCACCACCATTCTACTTTCTGTCCCTATGAATTTGTGTTAGTCAAACATTTTCAATGAACATGACAAGGACTCCTGAGACCTGAGATCCTGTGTGAAAATTCCAAAATAGAGTTCTAGCCAATGAGGAGAGAACAAGAGCATTTTTCTAAGAACTGTCTGTGCCCTACCATAGCCTCCTGTATAGTTCCAGAAAAAGCTTCACCCCCAGTGTGTGGCATTTTGCCTGAGAAAGACATCAGAAAGCAGAGGGCAGCTCCCAGGTCTCCCTTGGGTCTGGAAACAGGTATGCTATTTGGTGGAGAAGGTCCCAGGAAACATTTGAGCCAGGTCACATTTCCTGGGTACACTCCATCTGGGTGTGAAATGCAAGCTCAGAAAGCAGCTCTGGATTCTGCTGTCTCCACAGGTGTTCCAGCAGCCCCCAACCGCCCCATTGCCCAGGAGAGGAGCTGCACCTCTGTGATTCTCCGCTGGCTGCCCCCGGCCAGCACAGGAAACTGCACCATTTCGGGTTACACTGTGGAGTACCGGGAGGAAGGTGTGCCACCCCGTTCTTCTTCTGTCTTGGCTCCCTCTCCCAAGGTCCTTCAGGGTTATGAACCTGAGCCGCYTCCTCTTTCAGAAACTCTGCTTGTTATGGATTTATAATATTTTCTTCCAGTCTAATTAAGCACTGACCCCATGTTCCTGTATAAAGTCAGTATTCTCTATGTCTTTTCCCTCTCACACATTTGAGAAGGAACAGAAATGACCATGAACATTTATTTAATAATTTAAGACATTGGACCCAAACCTGCCACCCATCTTAGTCCACAGGCTTTCAGAGCCTGGAGCAGTATCCAGGACTGTCCCTTGATTTGAATGTGTCCATTTTCTTTTCTTTGTTTGTTGAAAGTCTTTGAAACAATGTGACTTTGGCTTTGTCTCATTCTCTCCTTGGAAACTATGCACTAGGTTCCCAGGTCTGGCAGCAGTCAGTAGCTTCAACCTTGGACACTTATCTTGTCATTGAAGACCTCAGTCCTGGGTGTCCCTATCAGTTCAGAGTCAGTGCCAGCAACCCCTGGGGAATCAGTCTTCCCAGTGAACCCTCGGAGTTCGTGCGACTTCCAGAGTACGGTGAGTCCCACCAGGCCTACGACCTCTGTGTAGTGGAGGCCAGCACCCGGCCCACTCTCCTAGACACACTAGCTGCTCAGTGTCACATCAGCCCATCATGAGAGGGGTGACCCAGAGCTGCTTGGCAGCTTCAGTCAGGTAACCATTTAGAAGATTGATGAAGTGTTTCCATGAGGCGTGACTGTAGGGATCTTGGAGCAGAGGTTAGTTGYTACCCCTGCTAACCCTGGGCCTGCCAGGCTCCCTGCAGGACCAGGTGTATTTCCAGGAACAGAAAGGGACAGGCTGGGGTCATGAGTCATAGGGGTGCTATCTGGTCTTCTTCTGAGAGAAGAACACCAAGCTTGCTATTCCCTGGATACTCTGCCAGGCTGAAGCACTTCTCATAGTGCCAGGGATAATCCCACATGCCAACTTAAAGTAAGAAAAAAAAAGCAACCTGGTTGAGGATTTCACTACCAAATGAATGTTTGATACCTGGCCCACCACACTCTACTGGAATTTCTTTATTCAACATGAATATATTTTTATTTTAGATTTATTTAGAAATTATCAAAGATATATATATATATATATATATAAGTAGCCAAACATGAATTTTTTAAAATCTTTATTTATTTGTTTATTTATTTTTAGTTGTAGGTGGATACAATATCTTTATTTTTATGTGGTGCTGAGGACCGAACCCAGTGCCTCACACATGCGAGGCGGGCACTCTACCACTGAGCTACAGCCCMAGCCCAAACATGAATATTTCATAATAATATTTATTTAGTTTACCCACCTTGGTCCCAGGGACATTTTAAAAGAAGAAACTTGCAACCTGAAGAAATCTCCAGAGTGAGATTTCAGGCAGTGCAGGGAGGTGATCTGTATGTGTTGGGACAGGAGAGAGTTGAGGGTGTCACTGTACTTAAAGGCAACAACAGGCCTGTGGCTCTTTGGGTTAAGGGAAGTCCAGAGTCCCTCAAGCATCTTGGGCTACACCCTCCCCTGATGAATCTGGAAATCTGTCCGACAGCCCCACCTCAGCCTAGTCAGTTCTCTTCCAGCAACCTTGACTTGTTCCCAGGCACCTGGGACTTGCTGGGAAACCATGGCCTTGGATCTTGGTGTCCTCGGCATTCAATATGAATAAGCTACCTTCTGCCTTGGCCAGGTTGCCTGTGGGCAGCCTGAGGTAACTGCTGGGCTCATCTCCTCCCGAGCCACTAACTCAGCCTGGCTCACAGTACCCAGTGCCTTTCATGTTTTGCTAATTTGGAGTCTTGGATCCCGGCAGACAGATGGGCATGCATGCACACAAGTGTGCATGAATAATTAGCAGGAAATTAGCACATTATATATGGTGAAGCTGCTCGAGTTGGCTCAGGCATGTTTGAGTTAAATCATTCAATATACTGCTAAGCTCATGAAGGCCTGAAGACAGTGGGGTGAGTCAGAGAAGTCTGTAGAAGGCCATGGACACACTCCTTTCCTTTTCTCCTTCCCTGACCTTGAAAGCTCCCCCACCCATTCTCTCTTCACATCCCCTTATAGTTCTGGCTCTCACTGACCTTTCCAGGCCTTCAAAGTGTTTTCCTCTCTCCATATTTATATTTTCTACTAAATTCCTATTTTAAAACATTCATAAGCTACATTTCTGATTGTCTGAGTTTTCCCCGTTGATTAAGTAGATGACAGAGGGAGTCTGTCATGTCGGTTTCCCCTGGGATATTTTCAAAATAACATTCCAGAGAATTGTAGCATTTTCCCACTGAGGTAGCCTCCATATTTAGTCATGAGAATTGCCTTGGAGTTATGCTGGAGCTCTTCTGCTGACCTTTTCTTTATTCTCATGTGACACCTCAATGTCACAAATGGATTCTCTCCCAAAGATGCAGCCGCAGATGGTGCCACCATTTCTTGGAAGGAAAATTTTGATTCCGCTTATACTGAGCTGAATGAGATTGGAAGGTAAGGACACAGATTTCTGTGAATACCCAGCAACACTATAGCAGAAGGAAGACTTGTTTTGGTGTTCTTGTTTCTTTTATAAATGCATTCTCTCTGTAGTAAGAAAACAACTAGAATATTAATGCGTATTTTCTACTATTCTTTTTCTTATTTAAATTAGATGCTTCCCTTATCAACTCTCAGCCTTTCCTCTTTTCTTTTTTTAAAGATATTACATTTATCTCTGCAAATCAAAATATAATATAAACATGCATTAAAATAAGCTCTTTTTCTTTTTCTTTCTTTCTTTTTGGTACCAGGGATTGAACCCAGGGGCACACAACCACCAAGCCACATTCCCAGCCCTTTTTATTATTTTTTTTTCTCATATTTTTTATTCTAACTTGTTATATACGACAGCAGAATACATTAGAGTTCATATTACACATACACAGCACAATTTTTCATATCTCTGGTTGTACACAGCCTTTCTTCTTTTCTAATGTAAGAACTTAAGCCTCCAATTTTTCTTTAAAGTACAATTCTAGAGATGACACAGGAGAAGAGATGTCTCTGAAGAAGGGTCGGAGGAGTTCCCAGAAAAATGGGAAAGTTGACTCAGGGCCAGCTGGGTTCTTGCATACATGACAGAAAAGAATTTCAGSAGGCCCCAGTCAAAGGCATAGACAGAGGTTTATTTAAGAAGCAGATACATATTCAAGGGAGAATGTGGACAATCTTAAGAGAGAGAGAGAGACGCCTTTGGGGTAAAACAGGAAATAAGCATTCAAGGGAAAATGTGGGCTGCCCCCAGAGAGAGAAACAGCAACCTGTTGGTATGGGGTGTTAATATTTGGAGGGAGTGGGTGCTAGGGGCTGGGAAGAGGAGGGGGCAGGGTGGAGCCACACAATTTCACACCAATGCATTTCCCTTATTTCACAAGGACTGGCCTAAGGGCTTGTCACCCAAGATTTACATCTGACTTTCTACTCAATGACTCCTGGGCATTTCCTTTACAACTCAGTACATCTGTCTTTATCCTAGATCCCTATCTCAGTTACATTGCCTGAGTTTTGACAAGTGGCATTTTTCATTACCATTCAGTTTATCTATTTTTCCAACTATGATTTTTTTTCTTGACACTCAACTATAATGGAAAAAATGTTTTAATAGGTAGGAGATTTTTAAATGTCCAAGATTTTTTTAAATTATCCTTTTTTCCTGATTTCTGATTATTTCATTGTGATAAGAGAACTTAGTGTATATGATATTGATTCCTTGATTTTTGTTCAGACGTGCGCTACGTGTAGTACATGGTCAATTTTTGTAAAAAGTTTCATGTGTTCTTGAGAGGAATATATGACTAATTATTGAATATAGAGCTCTAAATATGTCCATGTGTCAAGCATATGAATTGTTCTCTGGGTGTTTCTAATCCAAATATACCTCCCCCTTTATACACTCTATATCCCTCTCTCTTTCCCTCTCTCATTTGTTCTCTTGGTTTTTTGGTTAAAGAACATTTAGTATAGCCTCAAAAATAAAAAGGATAAAAATATGACTTTAAACAGAATAATGAAAATCTATCACCTGGTCTATAAAATAGTTGCTAGAACGAAAAAAAAAAAAAAAAAGAAGAAGAAGTCCTCCTTGTGCATACATTGGTCTCAGATGGCCTGGCTGAGAGAATGTGGGTACATCTTACAAATCTCTACCAACCTCAGCTATATAAATAAAAGAGCACCAAGGAACAATGGAGCATTGGTCTCACCTCTACCTCTGATGTCACTCCCTGAAGCATGGACGGTACTAACTGGAGTGGTTGTGAGAGGCAGTGTTGTTTCTGATTCTTAGACCAAGTCACAGTGGAATTTGCACCCTTTCCTTATAGTATCTTTCATCAAGGACAAACTCTAGGTCTGCTTTCTTTGCTTCTTTGTGTAACCAAAAGAAGAAACAAGGGCCAAAGGAAATTCATATGCTGCTGCTGCTGCTGCCTCTCTCCGAATACCTATAGTGTTCTGAATATAACGCAGATGTTGCCAAATCTAATCTGTAGAGCAGGTGAGGTAGTGTCTAAGTGGATATCCAATAAAGGAAATTTGGGCTCAAGGAGGATCAGCAACTTCCTCAGGGTCCCATGACTAGGAAGCACACGGAGCCAGTCGGCCACTGGGCTCCCTGTCTCTTGGCCTGTGCTTGTTTCGCTAGCACATTTACAACACATGGTTCTCATCATAGCAATTATTGTTGTTGTTGTTGTTTTTWAAAAAAAGCTCTAGTCATTGAAATCTAGCTTGCTCTTCTATGTTGAAAATAGATCTGACCCCAATAATGAGCAAATCACACCCCCCCCCCCAGCTTGTTCTAACTGTGATTGGTTCCAGCACCTGGATGCCCTGGTTAATTCTTCCCTGAGACACATATTTGCTATTGATAGCCATAGGCTTAGGATTTTTTTAAAACCCAAAATGGATGTTTTGATATGTCTTAGAAGGAAGATCAATTTCCTGATCTGTTTAGTTTCTTTTAATCCCCAACAGCCTGAAACTTTTTCTCTCTTCTAAATATAGTCCTCATATTTTCAGAAGATCCTTTCAAAATGTACTAAACAGGATGGAAATAAAACATGGAGATTCTGACATGAGACACATGAAAGATATCTGTGCCAGGGCCATAGAAGTGAGCTGATTTTCTCATCACTTCTGACCCTAGAATTCTGGGCTAATATGACTGTCCTGTTAAAAAGAGCTCCCCAGTAATTAAATAGTATAAAAATCATGGTGAAAAAAAAATCACTTCTACAGCAAACCCATAGAAGGAAAGAGCACTTGAACATGTCATATTTAAGCAAAAATAAGCTACAGGGGTGCCCTTGCAGTTTGAAGAAGCCTGGTGGGCATCACAGGAATGCTGACCAGCTGCCTGCAGCAGTACTGGGCCTCCAGGTAAGGGTGGCAGGTTGAACACAGACATTCACGAATACTGAAATTCAGGAAAAAAACAATACAAGAATCTTTTAAAGCAGACACATTAGATGAAGAGACAACAATAAAACATTAGAAGCAGAAAAACCAAAGAAAGAGTGACATGGGACCTACGAGAACTGAGAATGCTCAATCTGTGTCAGTTGCGGGTCAAATGAGAGCCAGTATGACTTTGCAGCAGAATTCCCCAAGGCTCAGGCCTCAGCAGCACTGAGCATTTCTGGAAGTAGGTATAAAGAGAATGCTAATTCAAAGGGCTGCCTGAAGTCCCTGTCACTCAGGAGGGAGTGACAACAGATGCCTGTGTTAGCCTGCCATGCCTACCTGCAGGCCTTCTGGCATCCTGTCCAGGAAGGTGTAGGTCCTGGCTACAGCCTCTCCAGCTGCAGACACCTGCACCACCCAGGAATTTTTATATTCTAGGAGGGTAAGACAGAATATCTCTGTTTGGGGGGCCACAGGCCCAGAAAAGACAGTGGAATCACACTAAAAATAGAGACACTGTGACAACATGCATGCTGCAGGCTGAGAACCCCATTCATATCTGCGGGGCCTCCAGCAGTAGCTCACCAGGCCTCCCCACTCTGGGCAGAAGAGGGGAAGCTCTTTYAGTGGAGAATCTGCCCAGTCACAAAGTAAAGATTGAAGACACTGATCCTGGASCCTTTTCCAATTTATAGTTTAGACAGATCACCCTTTAGTAAAGGTCACCAGACTCCACCTGCATGCTCAGAGCTTCCAAATGACTTATTGGTCCAGGACTTTTAAAAGGAGCCAACTCCCAATGCCARCCAAGATGGAGTAAGCCCACTGTAGCCTTTATCTCCCATGGATGACAGCTGGAATCACTGGACACATTACAAAAGCCTTTACCCAAGAATTCTGGTAAAAGTAAACAGCAGGGAAACTACAGAGGGAACTAAAACCTAAAAACAGTGACAGTGGGAGTGAGTCGGTCTTGCTCTCTCCTTTTTTTTTTTTTTTAAACCCAGGGGCACTTAACCACCAAGCCACATGCCCAGCCATTTTTTAAGTGGGTGGGTGGTACCAGGGCTTGAACTCAGGGACACTCGACCACAGAGTCACATCCCCAGCCCTACTTTGTATTTTATTTAGAGAGAGAGTCTCACTGAGTTGCTTAGCTCCTCACTTTTGCTGAGGCTGGCTTTGAACTCGTGATCCTACTGCCTCAGCCTCCCCAGCTGCTGGGATTACAGGCGTGTGTCATGCGTCACTGTGTCCGGCTCTCTTCTTTCTCCTTTCTCTCCCTACCTTTGACCATAAGGGCAGGCCAAATCAGAGAAGTGTGCAGCAGGCACAGAGAACAAAAGCACCAAGAAAAGCCCACATTCTGGCCAAAGCAAAGGGAAAAGGGATCCTTTGAGCTGAAGGGAGCAGAGGAATGCCTGGTCTTTTCCCCTTCGCCCCAGGCCCGGCTGGTTGTGTAAAACTGTGTGATGATGCAGGAAGCTAAAACTCTGAGGGAGTCCCATCGCTCTGGCAGGATAACCACAAAAACAGGCCCCTRTGAGCCAAATGATGTAGGAGAAATACCACTGAGGAGAAAGAAGAGAGGAACCCCCTTATTCTGCATATGAAACAGCACAAATCCTGGGCTACAGCCAAGCCATGCCAGTACAGAGCACACCCAAAGAAGTACAGCAAGGTTTTGAGAACTAATAATAAAGACATAAACCACAGCTCATTACCCTGCAGTGATGAATTAGTCACAGGCTGATCTTTGAGTGGTGCCCATGAGGGACAGATCCAAATGGCATAGCAAATATTTTGAAAACTGAACTGACAGTAGAACTGCGTCCCACGGAAGGTGAGACGGAACCTGCAGTGTGGACCTACCCAAGTTCATTGCTGATTAAACTATACAAATAAACAAAAAGTCAGCATTCTCCAGAGGATTTTATAGGGCCCAGATTCTTACAGGATAATGCCATAAAAGTTCAAGATCTAATCTGAAATTACTCAACAAAACGAAAATCAGGAAAATCTGAAAAATTCTCAAGGGAAAATAATAACGAACAGATGCCAATTCTGAGAGGACCCAGCTATTGGAATGATCAGAGTTTAAAGCCACTGTTTTACCCATCTTTGATGAGATAAAGGTGAACACTCTTGAAATTGAATAATGCAAAGACCGGAGTCATTGGTAGAGAAGTGGAGATTATTTTAAATGGAAGTTATATAAGTAAAAAAGTGCAATATCTGAAATTTTWAAATTCACTGAATGAGTTCCACAGCAGAAATGAGATAGTAGAGTCAATGAAACTGAAGAAAAATATAAATCATCCAACCTGAAGAACAGAGAGAAAAATATTTTTAATATTAAACACAATTGCAAGGATCTATGGAAAAAATGCCCAAAGATCTAAAGTTCACTTCATCAGAACCCCTGAGGGAGAGGAGAAGGTAATTTGTGCAGGTAAAAGATTTTGAAGAAATAATAGCTGAAAATGTTTCAAATGTGGTAAAAGATACAAATTTATGAAGAAGCTCAGTGAACCCTAAACAGGATAAACTCAAGGAAAAGCATGGCCAGACACATTATAATCAAACTGCTAAAAATCAATATAAAGAAAAATATTGAAAGCAGAAGAGAAAAAAATAACATAATAACATTTAGGGGAACAGTGACTTGAACAGATTCCTCATCAGAATCCATGGATGTTGGATGGTAGCAGAACCATATCTCCTAGTGCTGAAAGAAAAAACAGACAACCAAGAATTTTTAATCTAGGGCTGGGGATGTGGCTCAAGCGGTATCGCACTCGCCTGGCGTGCTTGCGGCCTGGGTTCGATCCTCAGCACCACATACAAACAAAGATGTTGTGTCCGCCGAGAACTAAAAAGTATATATTAAAAAATTCTCTCTCTCTCTCTCTCTCTCTCTCTCTCTCTCTCTCTCTCTCTCTCTCCTCTCTCACTCTCTCTTAAAAAAAAAATTGCAATATTCTCAGAATGAAAGGGTGTGAGTTTACTGATTCCTAAGTAGCCTGAGGGCCCAACCTGGTGGATGAAAATAGACCCATATCAAGGCACATCATTATGAAATTTCTCAACAAAGAAAGTGAGAAGAGCCCACAAACTTCATATACAAAGGATTAGGAATCATCTTACTTTGAACATTAACAATTAACATGGTCAAATAACACAAGGAGTTAGAAGATAATATAATAATTCCTTAAAAATTGTGAATGAAAAATTTCATAGCCTAGAATTATACTCAGGTAAATTATTAATCAAGTGTAAAGGTAGAATAAGTACAAGTTTTCAGATATGTAACTCTCAAGTAATTTATTTCCCACATACTCGTCAGAAAGTATTGAAGAATACATGATATCTGGATTTTGCTTAAAATACTCCAGAAAARAAAAATTAAAGTAGGAAAAGGAATAGATGAAACAAGATTGGTAAAATATTGATGAGTCTTGAAATTGGAGTATAAAACATCTATTGTCTTTACTTTTGCATATGTTAGAAACTTTCCTTAATAAACATCAAATAAAATGAAAATTTTGCCTCTTTCAGAATGTTTTTAAAACATCATTGAATAAAATTCCTCCTCTTTAATGTTGTTACTGTTGTTATTATTGTGTTTTATAGAAATATATTCTGTTCAGAAAAAAACTGAATCTGTGGTTGTTGTTCAAAAATGACAGAAAAATATACTGGCTCAAAAATGGTATTAATTGGTCTTTTRTATCTCAAATAACCCTGAAATACTGAGGAAGGAAAATGGGGTTTCTGCATAATAATATAACTTAAAATAGAGGGAAGGATTCCTAATGCAGGTTGAATATCCCATATGCAAAATCCTTAGGACCAAAAGTGTTTTGAATTCAGGAATTATTTTTTTTAAATGCTTTGCATGGTGGCACATGACTATAATCCTAGTAACTAGGGAGGCAAGAGACAGAAGGATCACATGTTTGAGGCCAGCCTGGGCAACTTAGTGTTACTCTGTCTCGAAATAAGTGTAAAAGGGCTGGGGATGTAGCTCAGTGGTAGAGCACTCCTGGGTTCAATCCCCTGAAAGAATGAATGAATAAATATTTACATATCTATAATGAGATACCTTGGGGATTGAACCCAAGTCTAAACGTGAGGATCTTTTCTATTTCATACACACCTTATCCACATAGCCTGAAGGTAATTTTATGAAGTTATTTTTAGTGTACCTGTATTTTGACTGTGACCCAATACGTGAAGCCAATTGTGGAATTTTCCAATTGACGTGTCAGCGCTCAAAAGCTTTCAGATGGAACACTTTAGATTTCAGATTTTTTGGATTAGGGATGTTCAACCTGTAAGGTGTTATTGTCTGAGTGCTTCACACACAACTTAACACATAGAGAAAATGATGCCTAGTTGATTCATGAATCTTGGAAAACTCTTTCTTCTTCTGTTTTCCAGAGGCCGTTTCTCTATAGTGAAAAAATGCATTCACAAAGCCACCCGCAAAGATGTCGCTGTGAAATTCGTGAGCAAAAAAATGAAGAAGAAGGAGCAGGCTGCCCACGAGGCTGCCCTGCTTCAGCATCTGCAGCACCCCCAGTACGTCACTCTCCATGACACCTATGAGTCCCCCACATCCTACATCCTGATTTTGGAACTGTAAGTATAGATGTTGTCTCTCTGGGTAGTCCCCATCTACTTGGGTTATTTATTGCTCACAATGAATGGAAAAGACAGTCATATTTTACACAGTGTTTTATAGTATGTAACATGCGTTCATTCCATTTTATATAAATGCTATTCATATTCTGGAGATTAGAAAATCAAGGATAAGGGCTGGGGATGTGGCTCAAGTGGTAGCACGCTTGCCTAGCATGCGTGAGGCACTGGGTTCGATTCTCAGCACCACATAAATGTAAAGTAAAGATATTGTGTCCACCTAAAAAAAAAAAAAGAAAAAGAAAGAAAGAAATATTTTTAAAAAAGGAAAAAAAAAAGGAAATCAAGGATAAGAAAAGGATAAGAAAACTAGCTCTTTAAAACTATGAAGTGGAGAAACTGGACTTCAACACATATATGTCTCACTCAGTTTTCTTTTTTTCTGTTTTTAGTTTTATTTTTTTCCAGATCTTTTTATTGGTACTTTATAGTCATACATAATAGTGGAATTCATATTCATAGTCATACATGCACACAACATAACAATGTAATTTGGTCAATATCATTCCCCAGTATTTCCCATTTCCTTGTCCTTCTCACTCCCCTGTTACTCTAATGATCTCCCTTCAATTCTCCTGAGACCCCCATACCCCACACCTTTCTTCTCTTGCTTCCATATGTGAGAGAAACATAGGACCCTGGACTTTCTGAGTTTGGCTTACTTGTTCTAAATATAATCCTCTCAAGTTCCATCCATTTTCCTGCAAATGACTTAATTTCATTCTTCTTTATGATTGAATAAAACTCCATTGTGTATAGATACCATATTTTCTTTATCCATTTATCCACTGACAGATGCTTGGGCTGGTTCCATAATTTGATTATTGTGACTTTTGCTGTTGTAAACGTGAGTGTATGTGTAYTGCTATAGTATGATCACTTTAATTCTTTAGGATTAACACCAAGGAGTGGTATAGCTGGATCATATGGTAGTTCCATTCCTAGTTTTTTTGAGGAAACTTCATACTGATTTCCATAGTAGTTKTACTAATTTCCAATCCCACAAAAATTGTACAAGTGTTCCTTTTCCGTCCACATCCTCTCCAGCATTGATTATTGTTTGCATTCTTGATGGCTGCCATTCTAACTAGAGTGAGATGAACCTTCAGTGTAATTTTGATTTGCATTTCCCTAATTGCTAATGATATTGAACATTTTTTT